ACTTTAACATACTTTAACATACTTTATTATACTTTAACACACTTTAACATACTTTATTTTACTTTAACACACTTTAATATACTTTAACATACTTTATTATACTTTAATATACTTTAATATATTCTAAACTCTCTGAAACATTAATACTCTAAACTCTTTATACAAAGTGAGGACATTTATAGACAGTAAGGACATTTATAGAAATGGACATGAGACTCTGGGGGTCTTACCTCCGGTCTGTCAGCCAGCCGAAGGTGATGTTCCCCACGATGTCGAGGACACCCAGGATGGACATGAGGAAGGCGGCCTGCTGGTGGCGGACCCCGACGCTCAGAGCGTACGGCACCAGGTAGACGAAGGGGAGGCTGCAGCCGCTGGCCAGGAACAGGAAGGACACGGCCAGGCCCAGGAAGTCCGGCAGCAGCAGGAAGCGGTACTCCTTAATGGACAGGAAGCAGGAGCTGAAGCACCGCCTCCTCGGCAGCTGAAGGGCGGGGTTTCCCGGCATCAGCGGCAGGGGCACCGACGGCTCTTTGGGGAGTGTGACTGCGAGCTCGGCGTCCTTTGACGAGACGAGACCACCTGCATCAGGAGACACAGAGGTTTATAACAAACCAGACTCATGGAGACACATTGTCCAGCACTGGTCCTCACCAAGTTTCTCCTCCCCCACTGACTCCGCCTCCTCTCTCTCCTCCTCCTCCCCTTCGCCCTCCCGCAGTCTGATTGGTCGGAGCAGCGCCCCGCAGACACACAGGTTAGCGACGAAGGCGCCGAGGACGAGCAGCGCTCCTCTCCACGAGTACAACTCGATGAGCATCTGCACCGCCGGCGCCAGAACGAAGGTCCCGATCCCGCTGCCCGACATGGCGATACCGAATGCCAGCGCCCTCCGGTGGTGGAAGTAACAGCCCACCATGGCGATAGCCGGGGTGTAACAGAGGGCAAAGCCCAGACCTGGAGACGGAGGATGTTTATAAGTGAAGAGACTTTAAGATAAGTGAAGACATTTGTAGAACGGAAGAACATTTTTGGCACATTGAACGATTGAGGACATTACTGGGAAGTAAAGACAAACTACCCAAAGTCAGGACATTTAACAACATGGAAACTATTCTGTAAAGTGAGGACATCTTTAAATGTGAGGACATCTTTAAACGTGAGGACATTTGTTGGAATATAAAAACAACATAGAAAATGACCTCAGACCTGGAGAGTGAGGACATTTTATGTGAAGTGAGGACATTTTTGGACAGGTGCGGACATTATTAGTGCGAGGACCTGTCAGGACTCCCAACGTGAGGTAGAGGAGCTCCAGACTGGTGGTGAAGGAGCTGAGGAGGAGTCCAACGGAGGACAGGAGTCCACCGAGCATCACGGCCACCCGGCAGGACCAACGGTTACCAACCAGGCTGCCGACCGGAGCTACACACACACACACACACACACGTCAGCCAGCTGTGTGGACGTGGACCAGTCCATCCACCGGTGTCCCCGGTTTACTGACCACAGAGCATGGTGGTGCAGTCCACCAGGCTGTGGATCCAGGCCGTCGCAGCGTAGTCGGCTCCAAAATGAGCCTGAAACTCCACGAAGAAGATGGAGATGCACCTGCAGACAGGAAGTGACATCATCGACCAATCAGTGAGGAGCGATGGTCAGCGCTGAGTCAGCAGCACACAGGTGTTATGTAACAGTGACACGTCTCCTGTTGTCTGTTATGTAACTGGACACCAGTCCAAACTGCTCTGACTGGAGTAATGTGGAGACACGTTGATCAGAGTTATTCATCAGCTTCAGCTTCTTCTTCTCTCCTTCATTAATAATCTGTTACCTGAGGAACACCTTGAAACCGTGGTCACAGTGTGCACGTACGTGCACTTTTACTTCAAAACGTGACGTTAGTGATTTAAAGAGCAGCTGTTGGTTTGAAACGTGTCGTCTCTCTGAGGCTGTTTGTTCAGGTGTCAGAGTCTCACACACACACACACACACAGACAGACACAGACACAGACACACACACACACCGACACAGACATACACACACACAGACACACACACACACCGACACAGACACACACCGACACAGACACACACAGACACACACACACAGACACACACCGACACACACACACACACAGACACACTCGGACACAGACAAACACACACAGACACACACACACACAGACATACACAGACACACACACACACACACTGAGTCACACACACAGACACACACACACACACAGTCACACACACACAGACACACACTGAGACACACACAGACACACACACACATAAACACACACACATACACACACTGAGTCACACAGACAGACACACACTGAGTCACACACACAGACACACACACACACAGACACACACACAGACACACACTGAGTCACACACACACAGACACACACACAGTCTCACACACACACACATAAACACACACACACACACAGACACACACTGAGTCACACTCACACAGTCTCACACACACATAAACACACGTACACACTGAGTCACACACACACACACACAGACACACACTGAGTCACACACAGACACACAGACACACACACACACACACAGACACAGACAAACACACACACTTACACACACACAGTCTCACACACACACACACAGACACACTCAGACACAGACACACACACACACAGACACACACACACAGACATACACAGACATACACAGACACACACCGACACACACACACACACAGGTCAATCAGTTGATTGTGTTTGTTTGTGTAAACTTTGTGTCACTTTGCAAACAATATTCAGCAGTTTTAATCTAGAAGAGTAGATAATATATATATATTATACTTATTATATATATTATAAATATGATCTGTATTATATATATAATATAGATCACATTTATATTATTACAGTTTTGAATAAACAAATTAATGACTTTGTGTTTTTGATGAAGTGAAGGAATTTAAAACATGTCAATCATCAGCTGTAAGACAACCTGTGTGTGTGTGTGTGTGTGTGTGTGTGTGTGTGTGTGTGTGTGTGT